AAGCTTCTTAGTTTAAGATAGTCTCATTTGTCTAACTCTGTTTTCACTTGCTTGGCCAGTGGCGTATCATCTTTGAAGATACCATCAGCTTCAATGTCTTGGAGGGTTTTGCCAATCTTGTCTTCAATGTACTTTATGGATTCCGTTCTGATGTTGAGGTCTTTAATCCATTTTGATCTTTTTTTTTTTAGATTTTTTTTTATTAGTGAAACACCATGAGGTACAGTTGCAGATTTACAATTTTTTTGTGCTTGGGTTTCGATTATACAATGATCAAATACCCATCCCTCCGCCAGTGCCCATTTTCCACCACCATGAATAATACCCCCCCACCCCCATCCCCCCATCCCCCCCTGCCTCTGTGGCAGGGCAATCCCCTGTGTTCTCTCTCTCCTTTTGGGTGTTGTGGTCTGCTAAAGAGGCATTGAGTGGCAAACATGTTCAGTCCATAGTCTACTTTCGACATGCATCTCCCCTCCTGGGAGGATCCTCCAAACACCCTTTATTTGGTGCTCCCTTCTCTATCTGAACTGCCCTTTCCTCTAGGATACCCGGCTGGCCTCTAAGTTATGGAGTAATCCTCCTGGTGCTGATCTCAGCTATTCTTGGGTATTAATCTCATATTTTGTTACTTTATATCCCCCAGATGAATGCAATCTTTCTATGTCTATCCCTCTCTTTCTGACTCATTTCGCTTCGCATGATACTTTCCATGTAGTACCACTTGTATGTAAATTTCATGACTTCATCTTTTCGAACAGCTACATAGTACTCCATTGTGTAGATGTACCAAAGTTTCTTTAACCAGTCATCTGTTCTTGGGCATTCAGGTTTCTTCCAGTTTCTGGCTATTGTAAAGAGTGCTGCAATGAACAAACAAGTGCAGATGTAACTTCGACTATATATTTTTGCCTCTCTGGGATATATTCCCAGGAGTGGTATTGCTGGGTCAAATGGGAGCTCAATTTCTAATTTTTTGAGAATCGTCCATACTGTTTTCCAGAAGGGCTGAACCAGTGGACATTCCCACCAACAGTGAAGGAGTGTCCCTTTCTCGCCACATCCACGCCAGCATCGGTTGCTTTTGCTCTTTTGAATGTGGGCCAGTCTCTGAGGTGTGAGATGGTATCTCATTGTGGTTTTGATCTGCATCTCCCTGATGATTAATGATGTAGAGCATTTTCTCATGTGCTTTTTTGCCATTCAGATTTCTTCTTTGAGAAAGTTTCTGTTGATTTCATTGCCCCATTTTTGGATGGGGTTGGATGTTTTCTTCTTGTGGAGTTTAACCAGTATTTTGTATATCCTGGATATCAACCCCTTGTCAGATGTATATTTGGCGAATATACTTTCCCATTCTGTAGGCTGTCTTTGTATTTTGGTCACTGTTTCTTTGGAGGTGCAGAAGCTTCTTAGTTTAAGATAGTCCCATTTATCTATCTCTGTTTTCACTTGCTTGGCCAGTGGCGTGGCATCTTTGAAGATACCATTAGCTTCAATGTCATGGAGGGTTTTGCCAACTTTATCTTCAATGTACCTTATGGTTTCTGGTCTGATGTTGAGATCTTTAATCCATTTTGATCTTACTTTTGTACATGGTGTTAGGCAGAGTTCTGAGCCTATTTTTTTGCATGTAGCCATCGAGTGATGCCAACACAATTTATTGAAGAGGCTTTCCTTACTCCACTTCACATTACTTGCACCTTTATCAAAGATTAGATGATCATATGATTGAGGGGAGATGTCAGTGTATTCAACCCTGTTCCATTGGTCTGCAGTTCTGCCTTTGTTCCAGTACCATGCTGTTTTAATTATTACTGCTTTGTAGTACAGTTTGAAGTTAGGGAGGTTGATTTCTCCCATTTTCTTTTTCCCAAGAATTGCTTTAGCTATTCGTGGGGGTTTATTGTTCCATATAAATTTCAGGAGTGTTTGCTCCATTTCTTTGAAGAATGTCATGGGTATCCTTATAGGGATTGCATTGAATTTATACAATGCTTTCGGTAGTATTGCCATCTTGACAATGTTAAGTCTCCCGACCCATGAGCAGGGGATATCTTTCCATTTCCTCATGTCCTCTTTTATTTCCTGAAGTAGCGTTTTGTAATTTTCTTTGTACAGGTCCTTTACTTCCTTAGTTAAGCTGATTCCTAGGTACTTGATTTTCTTGGGCACAATTGTGAACGGAATTGTTTTTTTCATGTTGCTTTCTTCTCTCTCACTGTTTGCGTATAGGAAAGCCATGGACTTTTGGGTATTGATTTTATAGCCTGCAACTTTACTATACGAGTCTATTGTTTCTAGGAGTTTTTTGGTGGAGGTTATTGGGTTCTTTAAGTAGAGTATCATATCATCTGCGAATAGTGAGAGCTTGATTTCTTCCTTTCCTACCTGAATGCCCTTAATATCTTTTTCTTGCCTAATCGCTATTGCAAGTACTTCCAGTACTATATTGAACAGCAGTGGAGATATTGGGCATCCCTGTCTCGTCCCTGATTTTAGAGGGAAGGCTCTCAGTTTTTCCCCATTGAGGATGATGCTTGCTGTAGGCTTGTGGTAGATGGCTTTAATTATGTTGAGGAAGGTCCCCTCTATACCCATTTTGGCTAGGGTTTTCATCATAAAGGGGTGCTGGATCTTGTCAAATGCTTTCTCTGCATCTATTGATATAATCATATGCTTTTTATCTTTTCTTTTGTTGATATGATGGATTATGTTGATTGATTTTCGAATGTTAAACCATCCTTGCATCCCTGGGATGAATCCTACTTGGTCATGGTGTATGATCTTTTTGATGAGTAGTTGGATTCTATTTGCTAGTAGTTTGTTGAGGATCTTTGCATCTGTGTTCATCAGGGATATCGGCCTGTAATTCTCTTTCTTTGTGGTATCTCTGTCTGCTTTTGGTATCAGTGTGATATTCGCTTCGTAGAAACTGTTCGGAAGTGTTTTTGATATTTCAATTTCGTGGAAAAGCTTAAAGAGCATTTGGAGTAAGTCCTCTTTAAAGATTTGGAAGAATTCACTAGTGAATCCATCCGGGCCAGGACTTTTGTGCTTGGGGAGACTTTTTATTACCATTTCAATTTCCTTGATGGTGATAGGTCTGTTCAGGTATTCCAGGTCTTCTTGGTTCAGCCTTGGGAGTCTGTAGGAGTCTAGGAATTTATCCATTTCCTCGAGGTTTTGATGTTCCGTGGCATAAAGCTTCTCAAAGTACTCCCTGAGGATCCTCTGAATTTCTGTAGTTTCTGTTGTAATGACCCCCTTTTCATTCCTGATTCAGTTTATTTTTATTTTTTTTTAAAAAAGGAAGTTTATTGGTCTTTAAATGGCTCAAATTGCAAATAAACCAAATTGGGTAGCGGCATCAGCCTAAGACATGTAATGCATCTTTGTCAGTTGGCTTCATAGCACCTGAGTACCCGGGAGAGGAACGGTCTCAAAGCAAAGTCACACGTTAGTGGTTAGGACCCCTGGTTAAATAAGACTGTGATGAGTCCACAGAGGGACTGCCAGGCCGCAGGGCCAGTGGGACATCGGGAGCTTTAATTCTGCACGTGGCATAGCTGATGAAAAATATGAAATGAAAGAGCATCTCAAACCCTTTAAGGACAAATATTTAACATGATAAGCCAGATGAGATATCTAGAGTTGGGTTCCTAAAAAGCCTATTTCTGCTCATTTCATACATACACCTTTTACCTGGAATGCCTGACACACCTCTGACTTGTTGAAATTCAGACTGAGCAAAAGGAGCAGCCTTAGAGTCAACTGTCTTAGCTTCATTCCAAAGAGGGAAAGGATACACGACTGGTTTAACTCCCACAGGCATGCTGGGCAGCAGCCTTGCCCGCTTGGTGCTCGAGAACTTGTCTTCTGCACATGCTCAGATGGACTGCTCGATGTTACTAGGAAGAATGTAGCTACCGTGTCCTTTGTTACGAACACAGACTACAAATTCTCCAAAATAGCTCCCACATCTCCCAACTACAACGCCATAAATATAAATGTGGAGACTTGTAAGCACTAACTGTTCTAGAGTAGAAGGCAGTTTTTTTGATAGTTTTTTTCCTGGGCCCGGCTCCAAAGAGACAGAAAAACTCAACACATTCACCACTTGAACAAAGTGGTTTCTGGGGACCAGCATCTTCAAAGGAAAAGGACTCGGAAACACAACTGCTGTGGAATCCTCAGAGTCTAAAATTATCTGCCAAGTAGATGCTGGCTCTTCACTTTATGCTACCTTCTAGCTAATTAAAAAGCATTCAAGTAGCTCCAGAGCCTGCCTCCAGGAGTATGGCACAGCTTGCAGGCCGGGACAGACTCTGAGCTGCTATTTCCTAGACTCCTCCTCCCCCTGCCAAAGGCGACCCCACACAAGAGGTGTGTACTCTCTCTCACCGGGAAACACGGGCGAGGACACACCCAGGTCCATGTAATCGGGTAGTTTTCAGTTTCTGAATTAAGGCATATTCAAACTTTTCCATGTACAAGTTTACACCCCTTTTCTCTGTTAATTGCCAGGTAAACAATGCAGGCTCACAGATGAATTACTCTTGTTTTCACTATATGCAACAATCATGCCAGCAACTTTTTCTTCTATATTTTGCATAACAATGGTCAACAAAAAAAGTGGTAACAGTTTTAACTATCATGTTCACAATTCCCATTTTTTCAAGGCAGTAGAAGACCAAGACATTTTCAAATGATATAAAATCGAAGCTTTTTCATAACCCGGAGGAAGCACCTTCTCCCACCCTCCCAAGCCCTCACCTGCGGCAGTCCAGAGGAGGACCGGCCGGGACATGCGCTCAAGTGACGTCCAGGACATGACAATGGGGTGAGTAGGAGGAAGGCTGAACACTGCTTCTTCGTGAAGCCACATTAATTTCTTTCTAAGTGAATTTGGCTTTCAAGTGAAGTTCCAATTCATGCTTTTTAGTGATACATAACAATTTCCAAAATGTTAAAGTAATTTCAGTCAATTGAGCCTTCAATGGCAATGCTTATAAATTATATTTATTAGTATGGTCAAGATAAGAAAGGAGTTGGGCTGTGATTATAAAATGCAGCATCTTTCTCTGATTCTCTTGGCTAAACTTTTTCTCTTCTTTTTCCCATTCTTTTCTTTGCTGTCTTCCATTTTTCTGGCTCGAATTTCCCTCATTAAGTCAAAAAACACCTTGTCGACGTTAGCGCGCGTCTTGGCAGATGTCTCCACGTAGTTCACGTTCCACTGGTCCGCCCGGCTCTTCGCCTCCTCCACAGACACCTGCCTTTTATCTTCTAAATCAGATTTGTTACCCACCAGCAGAAATGGAACATTCTCATCTTCTTTTACTCTTAAAATCTGCTCCCTGAAGTCAGCCGTGGCTGCAAACGATTCCATTTCCGTGATGGAGAAGACGCAGAGGAAGCCCTCCCCGCTCCGGAAGTAGTTGTCTCTGATGGCGGCATAGTCCTCCTGCCCTGCTGTGTCCAGGATGTCAATCTGCACCTCCTCCCCGTCCAACACCACCTTCTTCCGGTAGCTGTCGGCCTTTGTAGGCTCATAGTCCTCCACAAACTCATCATATATGAACTGCAGGGTCAGAGCAGACTTGCCCACACCTCCGCTGCACACCATGATGACTTTGTGTAATGCCAAAGAATTCTGGCCCTTGGGCTTATTGGTGGCCATCCTGTGTCACAGTTCTCAGCAAAGCTTAAGAAGAATCTGCACCGTCAGCTCCGCCGCCCCGAGCTCCAGACGCGGTGGCTGCGCTGCTCGGGCCGGCTCGGGAGGCCCCGCGCCCCGGCTGCAGACCACGGGCAGGGACGGGCGGCGGCCCGGCGGCAGCGGGAGGCGGCGGCTGAGGAGGAGGAGGAAGAGGAGGAGGACTCCGGGCGCCGAACTCGCGGGGACCCACCCTCCTCCCGGCCGCTCTGCACCAGCCTTGATTCAGTTTATTAGGGTTTTCTCTCTCCCTTTCTTTGTGAGTTTTGCTAGAGGCTTATCGATCTTGTTAATTTTCTCAAAGAACCAGCTCTTTGTTTCATTGATCTTTCGGATTGTTTTTTGGGTTTCCATCTCGTTAATCTCTGCTCTGAGTTTTATTATTTCCTTTCTCCTGTTCGGGTTGTGCTCCTTTTTTTTGGTCCTTCTCCAAGCTCTTAAACTGTAAGGTTAGGTTACTTATGTGTGCTCGCTCCTCCTTCCTGAGGAATGCTTGTAGAGCTATAAACTTTCCTCTTAACACGCTTTTGCTGTGTCCCATAAGTTTTGGTAACTCGTGTTCTCATTTTCATTCGTTTCTAGGAATCTTTTGATTTCCTCTTTGATTTCCTGCCTAATCCACTCGTTGTTCAATAGTGCACTGTTTAATTTCCAGGTGTTTGATTTAGTTTTCTGTTTTTGTGTGTGATTTACTTCTAATTTCAGCGCATTATGGTCTGAGAAGATTGTTGATACAATCTCTATCTTCTTAATTTTATGGAGGCATGTTTTGTGGCTCAGCATGTGGTCTATCTTGGAGAATGTTCCATGTACGCTTGAGAAGAATGTGTATTCAGCTTTTTGTGGATGAAGTGTCCTGTATATATCTACTAAGTCCCTTTCTTCCATTGTTTCCCTCAAATGAAGTATATCCTTGCTAAGCTTGAGTCTGGTTGATCTATCAAGAGGTGACAAAGCAGTGTTGAAGTCTCCCACTAGTATTGTGTTGCTATTGATGTCTTTTTCCAAATCTATGAGTAGTTGTTTTAAGTACTTTGCTGGTCTCTCATTAGGTGCATATACATTTATTATTGTAAGTTCTTCCTGTTGTACAGATCCTTTGATCAATAAGAAATGGCCTTCACTCTCTCTTATGACCTTCCTCACTCTGAAATCGATGTGGTCTGATATAAGGATGGCTACCCCAGCTTTTTTATGGGAGCTGTTTGCCTGTAGGATTGTTTTCCAGCCTTTGACTCTGAGTCTGTGTTTGCTTTGACTATTGAGATGCGTTTCTTGCAGGCAGCAAAATGTTGGGTTCAATTTTCTAATCCATCCTGCCACTCTATGTCTTTTAATTGGTGCGTTTAGCCCATTGACATTGAGAGAGATTATTGTTATGGGATTTTGTCCCATTGTTCTGTTAAAATTTGGTGTATTTGAGGGACCTTTCTTGCCTTAAAGTAGCCCATTTAGTTGTTCTTGTAACCATGGTTTTGAGTCTATGAAGTTCCTGAGCTGTTGTTTGTCTGTGAAATTGTGTGTTGTTCCTTCTATTATGAATGAGAGTCTTGCTGGGAAAAGTATTTTTGGGGAGGCATTTATTTCATTGAGTTTTTTCACTATGTCCCACCACTGTTTTCGGGCCATGAGGGTTTCATCAGAAAAATCAGCTGTGAATTTTAAGGATGCTCCTTTGTAAGAGATTTCTTTCTTCGATCTTGCTGCTTTCAGAATTTTGTCTCTGTCTAAGGTTTTGGTCATTTTGATCAGAATGTGTCTTGGGGTATTTTTATTCAGATTTCTTCTAGCTGGGACCCTTCGGGCCTCCTGAATGTGGTCACAAGTTTTCTTCAGCTCTGGAAACGTTGTAGCAATGATGTCTTTGACAGTTTCTTCTTCATCAAGGTTTTCTTCCTGTACCTCTGGGACTCCAATAATTCTTATGTTACCCCTCTTGGCTTCATCACGATCTTCTCTTGCCATCTGTTCCCGAATTGTGAGTCTCTTTTCCATTTTCTGCTCTTTTCTGGAGAGTCTCTGAACTTCATCTTCGAGCTCACTGATTCTGTTCTCAGCAGCTCTTACTCTGCTGCTGAGGCCTTCCACTGAGCTTTTCAATTCGCCTACGAGATTTTTCAGGTCTGACATTTCTGATTGCATTTTCCTCATTTCTGCCTTCAAATCCTCTTGTCTTCTATTGGCATTGCTTTCCATTGTTTCTTTTAATTCCCTAAGCATCCTAAGTAGCTCCCTTCTGAATTCCTTGTCAGAGAGGTTGTCTAACACTACTGTACTGTTGGTGTCATCTGGGCTAGACTCTTCAATATGAAAGTTTGGTGGGCTTTTGCGTTGCTTTACCATTGTGAGAGGTGTGGTTTAGTCCTTCACGTTCACTGTTACTATTCTGCTTGATATGCAGTGTGAGTTAAGATAGGCTTATGAGTTATTGGCTGCTGTGTTTCTAGTGACTGAGCTAAATTAGAGAAGTTTCCATTTAAGAAGGTAGCTTATGGTTTCTATGGCATATGTAGCGGGAAAATATTTCGTGGCCGCATTAGCGGCTGTGGCTCCGGAAAGAGTCCCTGGTACTGAGCGAGGAGTTGGGAACGTCTACGGCTGGAATAGGAGCCATTCAGCTTTGTTGCCCAGAGCTGGGCCTCCGTGCCCGTCCCGCGCAGATCAGGGGAGAAAAACGGCTTTCTAGGAGCTGGATCTAGCTGCGCATGCCCAGAGAGGGTCCCAGGCCCTTGGGGGCGGGCTGTACCTGTTTGGAATTGGAGCCATTCAGCTTTGTTGCCCACAGCTGGGCCTCCGTGCCCATCCCACGCAGATCAGGGGAGAAAAACGGCTTTCTAGGAGCTGGATCCAGCTGCGCATGCCCAGAGAAGGTCCCAGGCCCTTGGGGGTGGGCTGTACCTGTTTGGAATTGGAGCCGTTCAATTTTGTTGCCCACAGCTGGGCCTCCGTGCCCATCCCGCGCAGATCAGGGGAGAAAAACCCATTTTGATCTTACTTTTGTACATGGTATTAGGCAGAGGTCTGAGCCCATTTATTTTTTTGCATGTAGCTGTTCAGTTTTACCAGCACAATTTGTTAAAGAGGCTTTCCATGCTCCACTTCACATTTCTTGCTTCTTCATCAAAGATTAGATAATCATGTGTTTTGGGGGGAGATGTCAGTATATTCAACTCTGTTCCATTGGTCTGCAGCTCTGCCTTTGTTCTGCAATTTGCTTCCAGGCAACTGTCATGGAAGTTCAGACCTTAAGACCCTCTTAGTGGAAGTTTCTGTTACGGCTCACCAAGGGAAAGTAAGTGATAGAAACATTTTTACTGATCATAAAATAATAGCACTTTCTAGAGGAAAAAACATTTTGAAATTCTTTGGGAATATTATTTCATTGATAATGTAGTTATCTACGTCACATGTCACATGTCCCATACCCCACCGAGGGGCAGGGATTCGGCGCTGGGCTCTTCCCTGTTCACTCGCCGTTCAGAGACTATAAAACCCAGCTCCCGGAAGCGCGCAGCCGCGCAACATCTTATTATCTCATTCCTACTTTGGACAAACTGGCAGGTCACCGAATGTAACCTGCCCACACGGCAGAGTCTGGCAAACTCCCCGTGGTGTACCCAATATGCCAAACACTAGTAACAATGTTGGGTCTCATTCTCCTAACCCTGAAAGAGCCTTGAATATGGCACCTTTTTAAAAATCTCAGGGCTAGGACGAAGGAGATGTTATTGGGGCCTGCTCGAGGCAATCAACGAACAACAGGATGGTCGTGATCATCGTGATCGTGATCGTTCCATTGGTCTGCAGCTCTGCCTTTGTTCCAGTACCATGCATGGAAAGTATCATGCTAAGTGAAATGAGTCAGAAAGAGAGCGACAGACATAGAAAGATTGCACTCATCTGGGAAATATAAAGTAATAAAATAGGAGACTAACACTCAAGAATAGTCAAGATAAGTACCAGGAGTTTCACTCCATGGCTTGGAGGCCAGCCGCACATGCTAGGGGAAAAGGCAGCTCAGAGAGAGAATGCCCTGCCACAGAGGCAGGGTGGGATGGGGGGCATGGGGGGCGGGAGGGATACTGGGATCAGTCGTGGTGGAGAATGGGCACTGGTGGAGAGATGGCTACTCAATCATTGTATAACTGAAACCCAAGCACAAAAATTTGTAAGTCTACAACTGTACTTCATGGTGTTTCACTAATAAAAATAAAAACATAAGGCATCTCAGATAGAGAAAGGAGCACCAAGTAAAGGGTGTTGGGAGGATCCTCCCAGGATGGGAAATGCATGCTCAAAGTAGACTATAGACTGAACATGATTGCCACTCAGTGCCTCTTTTGCAAACCACAGCACCCAAAAGGAGAGAGAGAACAAAAGGGAATGCCCTGCCACAGAGGTAGGGGGGTGATGTGGGGGATGGGGAGGTGGGAAGGATACTGGGACCATTGGTGGTGGAGAATGAGCACTGGTGGAGGGATGGGTACTCGATCATTGTATAACTGAAACCCAAGCACAAAAACTTGTAAGTCTACAACTGTACCTCATGGTGTTTCACTAGTAAAAATTAAAAAAAAAAAGAAAAAAAGAAGAGAGAGAGAGGGTTGGGCTCCAGAGAGAGGAGCAGAACTGCTCCAGGGAGAGAGAGAGAGAGAGAGAGAGAGAGAGAGAGAGAGAAAGAGAGAGAGAGAGATTGGAAGAGACCAGAGAAGAGACTACAGAGACAGAGTTGGAAATAGAGAGGCAGAAGAGAGCACAGTGGCACACACAGAAGCAGAGCACAAAGGAGGAGCCATCCCGGTCCAGTCCTTACACAGCAGTTCGAGAGCACTGAACGTGGGCAGCGAGAGAGAGAGCCGTCTGAGAACCTGCCAACAGCAATTTTTTACAAGGGGGTATGGTGCCACCATCAGGTCAATCTGTACCTGTGAGGTGAGTGCATCAGCAGCCTAATGGCAACATCAGACTTTCAGATACCCCAAAATTGCTGCTGTGCCTTTGGCCAGACCCCAAAAACTTGGGGCAAAGTTTACCAAGAAAGTAAACGGCCGAAAGTTGTTATGTGGGAGACGCACCCACAAACCATCTCCGGCTCAGCTATATAATTGGAGGTATGGCCTCTCTAGTTCCTGATCGAAC